AGCCCCCGGCTCTGGTTGTTGAACCTCTCACCCTCAATAAAAGATGATGGTGATCGGTGTCTAAAGTGCAGCTGCTGAGTGTGTTTCTAATATTTCTGTAACGTTCGCCCCCTTTTATTGCTTGCCATTGAACGTGGCCCTCAAAGTAGGATCTGACGCAAATCGGTAAGTTGCCAAAAATATGTACAGTCATCACCTTTCCTGTATAGCTGCTAAAATCGGCCAAGATGTATTGTGAGCGTAACATGCAATCGTCTCGCCGTCTTAAAAGCAAGGTGTAACACTTGTAATGCATGGCAAGTTTTTGCAACCATTGCTCAATGCAAGACACGTATTCCCTGGCATCGACTGCAACTTCAACAGTGATGTGTGTGTTCCTGCCCGCTCGGCATTGTGGGCCTTTAAAGCCTGCGCTCGGCAAACCGCGATTTAAAAAAAAAATCACATCCACTTCTAGACACCAGCGAAGGTTTCCTGTGTAAATGTTTTACACTCATGGTTTCATCATCATTTGAGTAGAAGATTTAAAGAAACACAATTTTAGCATTCATAGAAAATTATGAATTTCACAAAGTGTGCCTATGAGATCGAGCCGGGCGGGCGCGCGCGCGCGCGTTGTGCTTTCACGGTGTGCAACGCGACGTGCGGGCCAGAGGAGAGAGAAAAAAAATGCGCGAGTGTGTACGTTGGCATTTGTTTGAGAAAAGAAAACAGGTAATTTAAAGTCATCAGTTCAGCTGTTCTGTTTGCTGCCGTGCAATGCACCGCTGTGGCTTTAAACGGCCCATTAACCGTGCATACATGCCTGCGTGAGAGCAAATGCGTGCCTGATACACCACGTTGCTCAAATTTGTTTTGTTTTTTTCTTTCTCTCTCTCGTGGCTTCTTCGCTTAAACGGTGTCTGGTGGGATATGATAATATCCCAATAGAGGCAAGCCTATAACATTCCATTGGCGGGGGGTGGGGTAGGGGGGGGAGATGGGGGATGTGGGAATAAAAATACGAGTTCTTCAACATTTAGTCCAACAGTCTTTTATCAAAGCTGGATAATTGGGATAGATAGGAATCAGTCGGGAAAACTGCTCCAGGAATTAGTTTGTCATTATAATCTATTGAAACAATTTTTTTGTTTGAATAAACCTGTTAAGGAACATATGGTACAAAAACACAAGATTATTATAGATAGCCGTACCTTGTACTCTAGTGGTAGTGCCTTATGCAGATAGTTCGTTCTCCAGGACGACCGAGCAGCGATCTGGAAAATATCGAGTGAGAACGTAAGGCTTGGGAATAGGTTACATCTGTATTCGTAGACTCACCGCGCCTACTGTCTACGTGAAAAACACATGTGCTCACACCCACCATGTAACACACGCTGCGAAGTCTCGAACAGATAGCTCTGGCTAGTGCAGTTCCAGATCGTTTAACAGGCTGTGGCATAGCTGTAAATCGCTCGAGTTTTTTATGCACAAGCCCTTCCAAGTGTTTTTGTAAGGATGGGGGCCTGGCCCTGCCACCAGTGGCAGACTCACTTAGCCGTGCCGTATTTTGTCAGTAGTGCGTGTTGACAATGGGCAATGCTCAGAGATGATATCATGGGAAATATCAGTGGATTAGTCTGGTCTTTGGCACTCCGTAGAGTGCCTCGGGTGAAAACTAAGCTATGAATTGCAGCGTCGATCACAATATTTTTTTTCCCGTTTTGTTTTTGATGGACATGGGGTTTATTTTATTTCTTTTTTTACAATGGAATTAAAAAAAGTATAGACAATGAGGCAGATCAACCTGTCGGATTTTCTTCTGTCAGTGCTGCATCGGCGCCGGCAATTTCATATCCATGAGCTGAAATGTTAGCACCTTAAAACGTGCTCTTTCTTCGTGTTTTTTTAAAGAACTTTTTTTATTTTTTCGGACTTTAATTCTACGTGATAAAACTTAGAACCAACACCTCCCATAACCGTAGAGGCCTGGGCTTGCTCAAACACAACACTCCGTTTTTCTTCCACGTGAACCTGAACATGCAGTGTTTTGTGTTCACTTCCCATGCATTAAACACTACTTTCTCGCAGAACGCGCACATGTATGTTACTGTGGGGTTGCACATCATGCTATATTATTTAAAAAAAAGTTTTCTGGCTCGATCACCTGGGTGGATTCCTGTCTGGCTGGGCGCCGCACACTCCCTTGAGTGCATGTGCGTGGTGCGTCGAGTTTATGCACACTGATGTCACGCCTTGAATCGATCCAGAGAGGCTTCAATGATTACACTGTGTAACAATTATTTTTGTTCCTGGGTAATAAGTGTTATTTCCTAATTGCTTATGCTTCAAAAGTACAGAAAATGGCTATTATTCCCCAAAAGCTTTGCATTTGTGATCAGGACATTGCTATTTAAAAATGTACCTATTTTCCAGAACATTCCTGATATAGATTTGAAGCTATCGTGACTGCAAGGATTCATATTCTTAGGTTTTTTCGGTAAAGTCACGTAGGTAAAAAATCAAAATTAATAAAAGTAAAATAAAAATAAAATAAAAATCACGACGTCTTCACCTGAAGACGGAAGCTTGTGTTGCCTCCGAAACGTCGTGATTTTTATTTTATTTTTATTTTACTTTTATTAATTTTGATTTTTTACCTACGTGACTTTACCGAAAAAACCTAAGAATATTCCTGATATATTCAGTGCTGGGTAAACTTGGAGTGACTTCTAAAACATTCTATAACTTTCCAGTAATATAAATAGTAGTATAAATGCAGGGGCCTTAAGCCCAGCAGATCAGTTTAGTTCCAGCTGCCTAAATGGATACATATCTGCACTTTTTTGAGATGGCGTCATGAGGCTGCAAGCATCAGGCAGACGCATGTTGCTATGTTTGCGGCCAATTTATCAAGACGAGAGCGAAAAAGAACTCTGTGGAAGCATCTGCTAAGATGTGTGAGGCCTACTAGGCATATTTCGGCATGCCTGTCGCGGATCAAGACAAACCCCTGGGCACCTCATTTCACCTGCGAGCAATGCCTCAACGGCGAGCATGCTGAACATAGCCACCTCAGCGCACTCGCCGTGGAGGCCACTCAACAATCTTGCATTGACATGCAAATGTTTAACTGGCAGCCCTTTGATTGGTGAAAAACCCACCACCGTCACTGTCGCTGCCCACCACTTACATTGATACTCTTAGGTTTTTTCGGTAAAGTCAGGTAGGTAAACAAATAAAATAAAAATTAATAAAAGTAATAATAGAAATAAAATAATAAATCACGACGTTTCGGAGGCAACACAAGTCTCCGTCATCAGTTGGGACCGTCACAGCCAGATTTACTGTATCAAGTGAGGAGAAAATAACGTGTAATTGTGTTACACAGTGTTATTATCACTGTTGCCATTTAGTAGGGTCCTGCATTGTGGTACTTGGCACATTCCCATTGAGCAAGAGGCATCCTACAGTGCTGGTTCAGTACTCTGACTGCTGAGCAACCTCACTATCTCGGTTAGTTATTTATAAATATAAATACGCGTTGTTAATTCACCTCTCGAAATTTCATTCGTTTTGTTTGTTCACAGCCATTCAGCCAAGTTCACAAATGGCCAATGCCATAAGCATGCCTTGTTTCTAGGGTACCTATCCTCTTGATAATTGTTTTTTTACCTTTTTATCTGGCAACAAAACTGACACCTTTATTACAAGGAGTCATGTTTGCATTGACCACAATACCTGCGGTCGGAATGCAAAAAAAACACAACTCTGATAATGTATGCACTGTCCTTGAAGTTGATTGGTCCACACCCGAGACAGCTTTCCTTAGAGCCTAATCTCACATGGTGTTGGACCAGATGACGCCAAAAGGCGCACAACTCAAAGACAATGCACCATCAGAGTATGAGAGCTCGGGGTAAGAATTTACACCATTGGAACCTCATTTGCCAGTAAAAAATATGATACTAGTTTTTTTACCCTTTTATCTGGCAACAAAACTAACACTTTTTTTTACAAGGAGTCATGTTTGCATTGACCACAATACCTGCAGTCGGAATGCAAACAAAAAAAACATACCTATCCTCTTTTTACGACATTGTTATGTTCTCTTTCTGCAAGTCGCTGTCCTGGGAAATACTTGAGTCGTCCAGGGACATGACAATTCCAGTTTTTTGTTCGTCATTTGGCGTACTAATACACAAGACAATGCATTTACGTGCATTACACATCATGTTGTGACACTACGTCGGTAGTGGTTGGTGCACGAGCATAAACAACAACAGTACATTTTTTTATTTAAAGCTTTCGTGACTGCAGGGATTCATATTATTGGTTCTTTCGTTAAAGTCACATAGAAGGGAAACAATAAAATAATAAAAATATAAAACAATACAATTCTCACGACGTTTCGACTGCAACGCATGCAATCATCATCAGGTGCGAAAACCCAAGAATATATCAACAATACACTCTATATTTTTGTCAATAACAGTCCCCTTAGAGGAAAAATATCTGTTTACGGTATATATGAAGAGGTCGGGCAAAGACATTTTTTTTCTAACAGAGAGCTAGAGAGTCCAGGGATTATGAATAATAGTTGTAGACTGCACGATGCACCACAGGGGATGATATAACTTTTTTTCTTTTATTAAGAATGAATCCAGATGATCAAATGGCAGTTTAAACGCCATTGTAAGACTGCACAACCATTAACATGAGGTTCTCTAGTCTTGTAGTATTGCTAGATGTTCTTCTTCTCTTGATATGGCCTGGGGTTTGTTGTTGTTTTTGTTATTGTACCACATAAGTGCCAAAACTTCCAGCCTCACCCCGACTCCAGCACACACACACACTCGCTCTAAATGTATAAATATGTGAGAGTTGTAAATTCAATTAGCGGTGCACTCCTGCGTCATCCTTTACAACGATGTTTACAACGATGAGTGACGTTGGTGGATAAAGCGCGCGCGTGTCACTTAACGTTTAAGTGTCGGTTAGGTTGGCTTCGCTTAAATGCGCTCTCTGTAAACTGAATTTTACGCGTTACCCCCGGACCAGCCCGCTGGGAATAATAACGCTTAAGGCGGGAGAGTGATAATTGAATTAACGTGCGTTTGGTTGTTTAAAAAAAAAACTTGTGCGAACGCCGCGGGTAAGGACATTCTGGATGATGAACACAAATGTTCCATTCAGATTGTCCACATCGAGATTGTGATGAAGTCGCCCAGAACGGACCCGATCTCAGGACCCAAGCCAAGCTGGTTAAGGGCCTGGACAGTGCTTGGATGGGGCGTGCGTGGCGATGTGGTGGGCAGAAGGTGACACGTTCAGAGAAATCGATTGTTGTACTGTACTTTTGCGCTTACACTTCTATGCTCCCTCCCTCCCACCTTCACCAAACCTAACCAACCTGGTGAGCCTTTGGTCAAATGACCCTCACGACTCGCCCTTCACTGCCCCTCCCCCATCACCATCCTGCACTGACCAGCGTGGTGAAGTATGGTCGAACGACTGCCAAGACCGACTTGGCATGCGGGAGGCCTTCATCCAGCAGTGGATTGACAAAAGATGTCTGCACAATGTGCATCTTCTGCATTCAATATACGTTGGTCAATTGGCGCTATGAATTACGTTATGCAGCGGTAGCTAAACAAGCAAACTCTGGACTAATTCCACCCTTTTGGGCCCCATCGAGTGTCAGGCGTGCATAAACAAGTCCTTGTTATTCTACAGCCCTTGTTCAATCCACTGCTCGGTGAAGGGACTACCCACGCTTTATCGATCGTGGGGGTTTCTTAACCATACTTAGCCACGCCGGTCAGCGCGAGTTGATGAAGGGAGGTGTGGAGGTGGGGGGTGAGCAGATATGCTTCAGCTATCACGCGCTGTCAATGTTAGCCGTGGCCGGGATTCCAACTCGGTTCGCCCAGTTTGTCAAACAACGCGTTGCTCAAACCACCGCGCCACTACTCCAAATTGGCCAATGGGCGTACATTGACACCAGAAATGCATCTAAGCAACAACAGTAACAGCAACAACAACAACAAAGGATGCGGCAATGGTATTTCCAACGCAGGTACCTGCTTCAGCAAATGGAAGGCCCAGCAGGCATCATTTCTTCTAGATTTGAAGCTTTCGTGACTGCAAGGATTCATTCTCTTAGTTCTTTCGGTAAAGTCAGCGTAGGTAAAAATTGAAATTAAAATTAATAAAAATAAAACGTCGTGATTTTATTATTTTACTTTGTATTAATTTAAATTTCATTTTTTACCTACGTGACTTTTCCGAAAGAACTAAGAGTAAGCATCATTGCCTTCGACAACAACAGCCTACGGAGGTTGTTGGGACAAGTGCTGTTACTCATACTCACAAACGCATGGGTTAAAACTATTTTTTCGCTCGCGCAAGAAACTGCAAGCGGCGTTTGTTTGTTTTTTGTGTTACCGTTAGCAGACTTAGTTTGAAACTGATTGCGCGGTGTGCGTCTGTCTGTGATGCAGAACTACGGCAGAGCAGAGAATGACGGGGGGGGGGTGGAGGAATTTCTATTCAGTTTCTTTCCTAGCTAAGGAAGTTTCGTCATCCCTAATTAACTGGTCGCAAAACTCTTGGGATAATCAACTAGACACTAACATTGCACGCAATTTGGTGCTGCTAACCCATTGGGGAAACCTAAGAATAAATCATATTGGGGGTGTGTGGATGTCCTTTTCAATGTATAACATCCTATAGACAACATATAGAGATGTAAGTTCAGATGTAAAAAAAAATGTTTGGCATGTAATAAGATGAGCGAAAGCGAGATCAGACCTGATCAGAGATGAGAGAGAACAATTCGATGTTGTATTTACGTATGTTGAACTTTTTTCGCACCGTATGTCGCCAACCCTGCTAATCGGAGGTGTAGGAGAGCGGGGGAGGGGGGGTGACAACGAACTAAACACAAAAACATGTCTAAAGAAATGTTAATCACCTTGGTCACGTGTGCGTATGAGGATTTCAAATGGAGTGAACAATATTTAAATTGGTTCAACCAATACTGTAGCCATGGAGTCATGGAGTCAACATTGGGGGGACCAAATCTTCCAGGGGGTCTGGGAGCCCCCCCCCCCCCAGAAAAAAAAATCGAAATTTGAAAACGAATTTCTTGCCTAAAATATTAAAACATTCACTAACACATAGTATGGACTTTTTATTTCTTTTTTACAATAATGTCTAATAGTGTATTGTATTACATTGCTCTGTTTTTCTTTTTTACCTTTTCTTGTTTAATTGTATGTAGTGGCAGAGATTAGGGATTAATAAAGTACAACCATAACCACAATCATATGAACAGAAATCTATTTTATAGCAATATATTGGGGGGGGGCATTTTGAGCATATTTGAATATTGGGGGGGGGAGGGATGTGTTCCCTCGCCAAACCTCCTACGCCAGGGGTCGGCAACCAAAATAACAAGAAGAGCCATTTCTTTCCAATTCGGTACAAAATTCAGTATTTCAAGAGCCGCAATGCATCTATGTACATACATATCGTCAAGAAGCAGCCCGTAAAGAGCCGCATGCGGCTCCGGAGCCGTAGGTTTCCGACCCCTGTACTACGCATTTCACAAGTAGTACTAATCGCATATCTGCATTTGCCATAAATATGCTAAATTCCTCTTGATATGCAAATTATTTTGTCAAGACGCTCTTAGCCCCTCCATCCCAGCATAAATAGTCGCTCCAAGCCTGGGGCGTGCCATTCAGACTCTGCCTTCTCGACAGACCTGGTTTTCACCTGAGGAAAGCTGCTTGCGTTGTGGCCGAAACGTCGTGAGAATTATTTTATTATGTTTTATTTTTATTATTTTATTATTTTCCTTCTACGTGACTTTACCGAAAGAACCAAGAAGATATATATTATAATTACGGCCTTGGGTTCAACCTCCAGTTTTGGTCACGAATTCAGGGCCCTTTGAGTTGTCCGAAGGCCCTAAAGCCTCTTGCTTCGGATGCCTCTTACAGGCAGTCGATTTCACGTTTCACCTATAAAGCTTAGCGGGTAAAGTCGCTCGCTCTCCTCGGGATGTCGTGGTTTGTGCTTCGTTCTTGCGTGGACATTGGATACTCGACATGTTTAACAATCCAACAACTCCTTCCACGTGTTCAAACAAAGGAGGAAAAGAAGAATAAATAATCACACATTAATCATGATTAAAACAAGGTAGAATTCTACAGAAGCATTGTTGTCTGTGAAACCTCATACAGACAGCTCTGAATTATACGCGTGGTTATTTTTCCATATCCAGTTTTGTAAAAACGGGGGCCTTCTTTCTACTATCCGCGATTGTAACGTTTTAACTCGCCAGTAAACGCACGGATAAACAAGATCCACAACTGCGAGTCTCCGTTCCCAACCCACCCATCCTTGCACCCACAGCTCGCCACGGATAAGGAAGCGCCGTTGTCATTGTAATGGACTACATTTACAACAACACTAACTTCTCGCAACAAAGTCGGCGCCTGCGTAGTTGTGAGTCCAGCATCCTTAGGGAGGCAATGCTGCCGTGCGTGGTGGTGGTGGTGGATTGTAGACGCTGCCGTGGTGTAAGACGCTAATAAGGGAGAGGGAAGAGAGGGGGGTTGGATTTTTGTGTTCACCCCTGGAAGCCGGCTCATATATTTATTTATATAAGTGGGTTGGTTTTTTTTTCTCTTCTCCCTCTTCGACTCTCTGTGTGTGTGCGCGTGTCCAGCAGCGAGCCGGGCCGGACACGCGTGGAGCGCGATTTCGAAGCGATTGGAGCGCGGTTTTGGACTTTGGAAGAGGGGCTCAAAAGAAGGAGGAGGAGGAGACGAAGGAGAGAGAACAACAACAACTGCGCTATTGTGGAACATTAATAAACCAGCCTCTTGCCATCGTCTCGCAGCAGCAGCTGCTGCTGCCCAGTCACTGAACTTTGAAAGCGCACCAACTTGGCCAACCGAAGTGGACAGCGGACCAACTTGGCGTTTACAGAACTTCGAAACGGAACAACAGGTCGCCTTGAACCGCGTTCATTATCAGAGCGAGCGAGCGAGTGAACGCACGGCACGCGCGCTGGAATATTCCGAAGGAGCTGCTCGCCGCTGATCCGTGATTTACTGGCGTTGTGTTGCACGAGTAATGCCATTTTCTGACAAGGCGTGCTCCGAGGGTTGACTTTCGTCTCCTGATGCGAGGAGGAGGAGGAGGGGGAGACCGCCGCGGGTCGTGCCTGTGATATAAAGTTAGGAAGTGCCGTGCTTTCATTCGTATCTTTAGGGGACATAAGCTACCCCCTTTTGAAGGTAAGACACGTGAAACACGTTTTTGTTACTACGTGAGATGCAATACACGTGTGCATGCGCAATGCTACGTGTGTGTGTGTGTGTATAACTAGACAGCGTGCGTGTGTTAGATAGGGAGCGGTGGGGCAGCGATTATCCCGCTGCCGCTACGAATCCCCGAACAACACGAGTTCGATTCCCGGCCACGGCTAACATCAGTGGCGAGTGATGTTATCTGCTGAACTCGTTCGACTCAGCCTTAGGTCGATCTATTAATCCCTTGAATGAGTAGTGACAGGCGCCTCTGTGTGAACATCATCGCTGGGGACACAAAGGCGGCCGCGCGTGTCGCTGGCCACGCCTTCCCCCAATCCTCATAATAGGCGCTCGCTAACATCGCTTGCGCCGACAGCCGTGTGATGTATGTAGCCCATATAGGCGGGCCATTCGATGGTACGCCTGCCTGTGATTTATTGAACGTGCATGTTCAACGTCCCGAACGCGAACGCAGGAAGGCGACGGTTGTGTGCGCGACCCGGAGAGTGGTTTGTGTTTCTGGAGTGCTGTTTGTTTGTAACTGTTTAATCCCACTTAAAAGGGATAATCCTAGTGGGCGACAAATTTGTTTAGGGATGGAGGAATTAAACTTTAGCCAAAAAAAACCCTTTTGGACGGTCACAACATCTTCAAGGGGGTCTGTCTGGCTCTGCACTCGTTGCGCCGTTGTGAGCGAGCGTTGCACGTGTTTGTATTGCAGGACCGTGTGCTTTGGTCCCTTCGACGGGACACAGCAAATGCACTGATTGTAGGCGACGTTTCGGGCAAAGACCCTTCGTAATGGCGCTGTTGTTGACGGATTTTAACGCGGTTTTTTTTGTATGTTGTTAAACTCGCTTTGTTTAACAAGCAATGCGTGCTGATTAAAGGCGATGTCTTCAGAAGGCCATAGTTTCGGGAGCGGTGGTGCAATGATTAGCGCGCAGTGCTTTGTTACTCGGGGGGCCTGAGTTCGAGTCCAGGTACGCGTGTAACATGAGTGTCGAGTGATATCTGAACGAGTCATGGGCCCCCTCCCCACTCTTTACCAACCGGTACTGACTGTCGTGGTGAAGTATGGTCAAACAACCCCTATTATGATCAACACGGTGTGGCGAGGCCTTCATCCAGCAGTGGATTAACGAAGGGCCTCTTACATTGTATTAATGGGTGGAATTTGTGGGGAGCAGTAGTGTAGTGGTCAGCGCGCTGCGCTATTAACCCGGCGACCCGAGTTCGATTCCCTGCTCACAGGCCAACGCCAGTGACGATTATTCGATCCGGTCCTGGGACTCCCCTAGGTCGACTCAGCCTCAAATGAGTACCTGGTGTGTAAACATCCCCAATGGGAAGACAAAGGCGGTCAGGCGTGGTGCTGGCCACCGACCTCCTCGTGTACCGTTCTGTCCCTTCATAGGTGCTCGCTAACAGCACTTGCCCCAACACTCTGTTAAGGCTACACGGGGGATCTTTGTATGTAGCTGAATTTGTGCGGTGTGAGCAATGTTAATGTACCCAGGGTATAGATGCTATTTTACATTAAATGAAATGCAAGTTAAATGTAATTGTGCATTTACATGCGAGTGCTCTACATTCATACGACAGCATTCGTTTAACGTAATTATAAGTGAATAATACGCACATATAATAATATTTACATTTATATAGCGCTTTTGATCAATGATCGCAAAGTGCTGTAGAGGACACAGCAGCAGCAGACATTAAAGCTTCCGTCTTCAGGTGGAAGACGGAAGCTTGTGTTGCCTCCGAAACGTCGTGATTTAATTTATTTTTATTTTATTTTTTTACCTACGTGACTTTACCGAAAAAAACAAAGAGTATGGACCCTTGCAGTCACGAAAAACTTCAAACTTTACTAAATCATATTCTCTTTTTAGTACTGTATGCAGACAATTAACCAATACATTCAATTGCATCCAACATATCCCACACGGTAATATGGGATGATTGGGAATGTATACATAGCATACATAATGTGGATATATCGTTGAATTGAGTACATAATATACTGTGATGAAGGGTACATCGTTTGTATGTGAGCGTCCTCCAATGACAAATGAGTGCACATTAGTCATGGGCTACTTCAGACTTATTTAGATGCATTTCATGCATCTGTTATACATATTAATTAATCATTATATAATATGGCAATATAGACCTACATCTCTCTGTCAATCTACTGCTGGATGAATGCCCTCTCCGCACCGTGTAGCTTGTGGGTGGATTCCTGACCATACTTCACCACGCTGGTCAGTGCGGGTCAGTGGTTAGGGTTCGCGCACAGAACCGGTTTGGATTATCACGCGCCACTGAGGTTAGCCGGAGCCAGAAACCGAACCCAGGTCAGCGTACGCGTGCCTCCAATTTAGGGTGAGTTGAGTCACCTCGTGATTCCGTGGCGATGTTGGCTCATACATCTCGCTTTGCTGACTTGGCACCCGGCTGAAGTTAAAGTGTCAGTGAAAGTCACCCTTTTTTACTCACCAATTGACTTATTAATTAACGGCGAACCACAGATGGGGGATGCCGGCTCAATAAAATCATTCCTAGCGCGCGCGTGACCTTGTGACCTTGATTGAGGAATTCGCCGGCCTGTGCCCCGGTTTAATCAATGACAAATTGATCTGCCTCAACTTTTTTTTTCATATCAAATACTCCGAAGGCAAAGCCGGTTGATTGCCACGGCCTTTATCGATGCAAGGTATTTGTTAACACTCCGCTAATTGTATTGTGTTGTGCACAGCTGTCGCAGGCCACAGCGTGGCTATAGTGCGTGATGGGCTGAGAAGTCACCAGGCGAATGTAGTGGTTTAATATGGATTAGTCCTCCAACATCATCATCTTTAGCCATGACAAATCGACTGCTAGATAAAGGCGTCTCTGACAAATATTATTTACTTGATATACAATATATACTCGTAACTGTCGACCCCTTACCAGCGCCTACCTTGTTACAACACCAATGCAGATTTTATTGGTCAACTCGTGCCCTTATAAATCCCAACGTTCATCCTACAAAGTCCCATCACGAGGGAGAAATAAAAGAAAGTAAAAAAATGTTACGCGTATTGAAACGGCCGTACGCTGTAAGGGCCTGGAAACTCAATTTCCCTGTACAAGAATACGGGTAAACCATGTGGGTTGACAGGTATGCATACTGTACATGTTACATGTTATTCACATATATGATGTTTGCACCAATTCATGCTTTTCAATGATATGCGGGTCTCTTATATAGTACGATATGTATGGTTATGCAAGTGTTTGGTAGGTTTCATTTTTATAAACTGAATACATTTAGTACGATTCATAATAACAAAAAACTCCCAACATGTCCGTCAATAATAACAATATGATCTTAAAAGAAACAAAAAAATGCATATAATAAGTGACGTTTCAGGCAACAGCCCTTCTTCATAGCCAATAGAGAGAAGACAGAGAGATGTTACATGCGATGAACACTTACAACCATGGGACATTTTAAGAACAACATTGTAACAAGATTATTTCTCGATTAACATATTTTTACAATAAATCTTGAATGATTATGGTGCATGCACATTTTTTAATGCGAATATTTCAGCATATTATGATTATTTTATTATTGCACTCTTATCGTTACTCTGAAGAACAGGACATTACCCACGTTTTTATTCTAATTTACTTCTAATTTAGGAGAGAGTCCTGCGTGTCGAGCAAGTGGCGAGGTGTGTGCTGGATGCGTGCGTGTGTGCGTGTGTAGATTCTTGGCCTTCCAAAAACATTCTCTAGATTGTAAGGCTCATGTTTCCCCCACCGTTTTTTCGGGTTCGATTCCCGCTCACGGCCAACACCAGTGGCGATTATCTGAACCGGTTCTGGGCCTCACCTAGGTCGACTCAGCCTCAAATGAGTACCTGGTGCGATGTGTAAACATCCCCGCTAGGGAGACAAAGGCGGCCGGGCGTGGTGTTGACCACCCACCACCTCGTGTGCCGTGCCGGCCTTTATAGGTGCTCGCTAACAGCACTTGGCCCTACAGTCTATTAAGGCTATACAGGGGATCTTTGTCTTTGTGTGAGAGAGACCAGCTTTGTAGAACTTTTTTGACATCGGGAATTTATTTACCAGGATAGTCTTATATTCTGGAGACTACGGTAACACCGTTTAAAAATCCCGCTATCAATCCACTACTCGAAAACGGAGGTGCCTCCTTCTCATGCCGCGTTGGTCATAAGGACGTGTTCGACCATACTTCACCACTTCTGGTCGGTGCAGGACCCTACTATCGGCCGTCACTCGTCAACGATGTCAGGCCGCGGCCCTGCTAATCGAACTTTTTTTTTAGGTCGTTGGTTCCAGCCAACTGCGCTCGCAAAAGTGGTGTCAGACGTCGCAAATTCTTCCCCGACACAATGCCCCCCCCACCAACACCAATTTGCTGGCACGAGGTGGCGTGAGAAAGCATTGCACACCGCCGCCTGCTGGTTCGCGTTCGGTCACTGAGCGTTGGCACGCTTCTGTTTACGTGACAACCCCTCCATTGGTTGGCTGTGTCGGGTGGTGTCGGGTTTAACGACACATTTATATATTTACGCGATCTAACCCCCCTCCCCCCCCCCCAAAAAAAAACTCTATTATGGATGAGCGTTCATTGTCTGAGCGGGCCGGCGCCCCGATTTCGATTCCCGTTCACGGCCAAGACCGGTGACGATTGTCTGCGCTGGTCATGGGCCTCCCCTAGGTCGACTCAGCCTGAGTACCTGGTGCGGTGTGTAGTAAACATCGCCACTGGGGAGACAAAGGCGGCCCGGCGTGGTGTTGGCCACCCACCCCCTCGTGTGCTGTGCCGGCCTTCATAGGTGCTCGCAAACAACACTTTCCCCCACAGTCTGTTCAGACTATACGGGGGATATTTGTATTTGTGTACAAATGTCTGATTCATTACGCCAGTGGTTCTTACCCTTCCTTTGCAGCCTTGTACC